ACAGGCCATGTGGTTCGATGGTTGGGCATCTACCTATGAACCAGGTCAGGGCACATGCCCAGGTTGCAGTCTCCATCCCCGTAGGAGGCAGCCAATTGATGTTTCTATCTTTTCCTCCATCTCTGATATCAGAAGGGCACCTGTCGCCCTAGCAGCAGTGGTCGGCAAACTGCGGCTTGCGAGCCACATGTGGCTCTTTGGCCCCTTGAGTGTGGCTCTTCCACAAAATACCGACTTCTGTGCATGGACCACGAAGTTTCAATCGCACTGTACATGCGCGCCCACACGTGGCATTTTGTGGGAGAGCCACACTCAAGGGGCCAAATAGCCGCAGTTTGCCGACTGACCCTAGCTGATTGGGCTCAGTGGATAGAGCGTGGGCTCATGGACTGAAGGGTCCCAAGTTTGATTCTGGGCAAGGGCACATGCCCAGGTTGCGGGCTTGGTCCCCAGTGGGGGTGTGTGCAAGAGGCAGCCAATCAACGTCTCTCTCATCATTGATGTTTGTCTCTCTCTCCCTGTCTCTGAAATCAACAAAAAGGGGCACCTGTCTATGCATATAGAGAATACAAAGAAATTGGGGCAAAATATAACTGAAAGATCTACGTAGAACATTTTGAAGCTCCTTTGTACTGTTCTTGCAGCTTTCCCCCGTTTGAAATTACAAGAGACTTTTAGAATGTCTGCTACACCCGTCTCACAGAAGCAGGTGTACAGGGATCCGTGGACAGCCAGACCTGAGCTCTGCCACTTCTGTGCAGAGACCCACACACATGCACGGCATCAACACACCCAGACCAGCATCAGCAGTAAAAACAGACAAGTGTGCAGAACACACAACTGAACAGCTCCTTCTCCCCACTACTCGAGGGACGCCCAGCCCAGCGCTCTCCCCTCCCCATGCACACACAGTAGGACCCACAGCCTCAGCGGATCCAAGGTCAGAGCCACCTACCCAGGACGCTGCCAGCAGGCTCTCCCTTCCTTGATAAGGAACTCCTGCCCTTAGCTCCAACCAGCACCCAACCCCACAGACGACACGGGCAAGGTGTCCATGGTTTATTGATAATATTACAGCATAGCAAAAGATTCAAACGGCTCCACGCGGTGTTTTGAAATTCATCCCAACTGTGGGCTGAGTGACCTGCAAGTTGGACAGACTGCCGAAGTCCTGGAACAACAAAATGGGTTCAGTGAGATCTGTGGTCATGGCTCCAGGACCACCAGGGAGCCTTGCTTCTCAGCCTCCACCCGCTTGCAGTGGGACCTCGAAGAAACCCAACGAAAGGTGTTCTCCTCCCCACCCCAGAATGATGACTTAAAGGACCCTGCACTCCAACAGGCAGCAGCTAGGAAGCTGTCCTGTGCTGTCAGATGCTTAGCAGCACCCCTGCCCTCTATCCACTAGTGTCTGCTCGGATCCCCCAGCTGTGACAATGAAAAAACGTGTCCAGCCCAGCCGGCGTGGCTCAGTGCTTGAGCGTTGACCTATGAGCCAGGTCAGGGCACATGCCCAGGTTGTGGGCTTGATCCCTAGTGGTGGGAGATCCCATGTGGGGTGTGCAGGAGGCAGCCGATCAATGACTCTCTCTCATCATTGATGTTTCTATCGCTCTCTCCTTCTCCACTCCTCAATAAAACTATATTAAAAAAGAAAAAGTGTGTCCAGACATTACCAAATGTCTTGGGGTAGGAGTGGAGGTATGTATCTCTCCCTTTTTGAATAATTTCTCTAGGCGAGGGGTCCTCAAACTACGGCCCGTGGGCCACATGCAAATACAATTATTTGTTCCCGTTTTGTTTTTTTACTTCAAAATAAGATATGTGCAGTGTGCATAGGAATTTGTTCATAGTTTTTTTAAAACTATAGTCCGGCCCTCCAACGGTCTGAGGGACAGTGAACTGGCCCCCTGTTTAAAAAGTTTGAGGACCCCTACTCTAGGCATACACAGAGCCACCTCCTTTCCAGGACCAGCCTGGGGCAGGCTGCCTCACAGATGGCAGGCCCTAGGCAATCAACAGCTATGTAAAAAGTCCTAAGATAAGCCACAGAAGAGACACATATCAACCTGTACTGAAGACAGCTAAGCTCTCTAAGTAGTGCCTTGTATTAAGCATCTGGAAATGAGACCACAGCTCACTCAAGTGGTCAGCATACAGACAAAGAAGGAACGAAGTCTGGGGTGGGGAGTCCAATGGGGGGACAAAAGGGACATTTGTAATACTTTCAACAATAAAGATAATTTAAAAAAAAAAGAGGAAGAAATGAAGCCCCCGAGGGAAAGCCCACATAATGAAAAAGAACCAGCTGGATGGAACCATGGGGGCAAATGTGAGGAGCCAGCCACACAACTGAGGTCTGGAAAACACCGAGAACACCTGTTGTTATTACAGCAGAGGATACCACTGGGAAGCCCCCCTTCAGGAACTCAGCACACACTTACCAAGAGCTTCAGCATTTCCTTAGTGTCAGGATCAACCTCAATGATCTCCTGATCCAGGGCTGAGACCTAGAAGGAACAGGACCCCGCCAAACACCATCAGTGAGTTCTCCCTCACCTTCCCTGCCCTTTCCCCAACATTCCTCAACAAAAAAGAGGGGCACTTGCAAAGGAGACAGGATCCCACTAGGAGAGCAGTCGGCTTAAGGATCACAGGCCCCAAAGACCACTTCTGGGTTCACCTTGTATGCGCCCTTCGTCATTCGCTTACCGGCATTCCAGAAACCTTAAGACTATGTTCATGTTTCGGGAATACTGTGCTAAGGCAAGTAACCAAACCAGAAGCTGTGGCAAGGCAAGCAAACATGACGAAGGGCTCTCAGGTGGAAACCAGGACGGACTTAAATGGCCCCTACAGCCCTGGCCGGTTTGGCTCAGTGGATAGAGCGCCGGCCTGCGGACTGAAGGGTCCCAGGTTCCATTCCGATCAGGGGCACATGCCTGGGTTACGGCCTCGAGCCCCAGTAGGGGACGTGCAGGAGGCAGCCTATCAATGGTTCTCTCTCATCATTGATGCTTCTCTCTCTTCCTCTCTGAAATAAATGTAAAAATTTACCCCCCAAAAATGGCCCCAACAGGGCAGAACAGAGATTAACACCCAGGCAGGCAGGTTGCGGGCGCCTGCAGCTGGGTGAGGGTTTATGGATAAAGGACCTTCTTCTCCAGCTCAGCTGAGGTCCCCTTAGAAGCCAGGCACCTGCTTCCCGTTTCAGCAGGAGCCCGAGGCCCAGAGAGACGGGGCGGGCTTACCTCGGGCACGTAGTTGTCCCTCCTCTCCCTCTCCTCCTCCTGCAGCTTGATGGAGATGCCTCGCACGGGGCCCCTCTGGATCCGCTTCATCAGGTGCGTGACATAGCTGCGGCACAAGCGTCCACACACACTGAGAACGCCCGTGCACGCTGCACCCGGACATTCCCGCAGCAGTTTTAGGGCTTCTTCCCCCGCGAGAAGGGAGAGGACCCCCGTCCTGGGAGCCCCGACTCCGACAGCGACACGCAGCGCCTGCCTGCCTGCCTGCCACCCTCTATCAAGTTCTGCCAACGCATCAAATCCTCGCCTCAGACTCCCAGGACCCCTCCCCAGTCTTCGTTTCCTCTCCACCCAATGGACTGCAATTAAGATTCAACCTCCCGGAGGCCTGGCCGCGGCCAGGTGTCACCGCCCCAGGTATGACACCAACACGACCCAGTCCCACCCGGGCCCCCTGCGAAGGCGCGCCCGCCCGCCTCCGGGGTGTCGGGCGGGGGGAAATCCCCAGGACACGGCGGCTCCCCACCCCCCGAGCCGGGACGGAAGACCCAGGCCCCGCGCCCCACCTCCCGCAGGTCCCGGCGGCTCCCCT